TCAGCTGCCAAAATCAATGACAGAATAATGTGTCCTCAGATTTCCCTGTTGAGACCTGGCAACACAGAGTTTGCAAAACAGATGGCTACTTTAAAACACCCTGCCAGCTCGTAAAGGCAGTCCAATGCACTTCATTCAGATAAACTGATTAATACAAGTGCTGCAACAAATATTTGCCACCTTTAACTCTGAGCTAGACAATCTGTGAGTTAGTGATGTTGAAAGGTTGTTAGTTGGAACCTGATATCTGTACACCTATTTATGCCACTTTATGTACTTATGTATTTATGTATTGTTGAGCTGTGAAGTATTATAGTGATTTATTGTAATATATTTTTTTTAAATTTTAATGTATCATTGGTTTACTGCCCTCCTTGTGTATTATGACACCACATAAATAAAAGAAATAAATATTACTCTTACAGTATAGATAGACACACTCTGTAAAGCTAAATGTAGTCCTAAAATATTTTTTGTTATTGTTTTTGCAGGATCCTTTGTCCCTTCAAATTATATAACTGACATTCGATAATGCAATTTGCAGCTAATTTTTCAATGGGATTGTTAGCCAGCAGAAAGTGGCAATACAAGTTCCATTAACGCACGTAAAGAAACAAGATTTTTTTTAAAAAAACCAAATATTCCACCCACAAAAAATGTACCAGTGTGTGTGTGACATACTTCTGCTCCTCACCATGCTGTCCACTTAGTGTTTAACGATCCAAATTTGTCTGTAGTATTTTGATTGGCTTGTGCAAACAAATCTTCCCAAACTTATATGTGCCCTGATATGAGTCATTTTGAATCCCGTTCTTTTTTATATTGGTTAGGAATTTTGCAATTTAAAGTCCACATATGTGGCAGAATCAGGGACAGTCTGATGAAAACTTACATTTCAAGGTTTCATGCAAATATCAGAAATCTTAATATGGCATTCCATTTCTGCGAGGGTTTGGGTTTCATGAAATGTTTCAACCACAATAACACATGGCAAACAATCAATACAAACTCAAGGTAAACCACTTCAAACTCAATTGCAGAAAATACGACTTTAGAAACAGAGTGGTAAATGCCTGGAATCTCTACCTAACTCCATTGCTACAGCCTCAAACCCTCACAGCTTTAATCTCAAACTGTCTACTGTGGACATTCTTAAGTGGTCCATAAAGGGGGCGTGCATAAGCACACCAGCGTGCCTATCGTCCCTGTCCTACTGTCCCCATTTATCTGTATTTACTTCCTTTGTTCATGATTATATTCATACCTATTCATGTTTATGTTCATACCTATACTTGCACAGGAAGTATAGTAGAATAGGATACAGTAGAATTATTATCCCTGATGCAATTTGGATACATTTATTATTTGATATTGTTACCTAGTTTGGTAATGAAAAGTCTGCAAGAAAACAACCAAGTTTAGAGAGCACCAAGGACTCCTCATTTCAACCCTGAGCTACAAATATTCTCCTTTATTAATTGTTATTATCATTGTAGCCCAAGACTGCATTTTGCTCTTTTAGCTTGTCTCATTACTCGCTAATATTTTACTGGGGCTCCCTTTGTATTCCTAATTCCTTTCCACATGTACTCTGCCAAACCAGATCTACACAAATTGACATTTGTGGATTGGGTTTTTCTATGCACTTGTCATAGGTGAATACTACTATGTTTGGTCTAATATTCAAGCCTTTAAAACTAATTTAGAATTGTGACTTTTGTTCATTAGTGTATTAGTCAACCTCCTAGTTTGGTGTAAACCATAGCTCGGTGATCCACCTCTCCAAAAGGATTCACAACATGTTGTTAAATATTCAGAAGGACCTTAATAAATTTGAACATTCAGCCCTATCCAACAAAATGTTGTTGTGGCAAGAAATGCAAGGATCCACACTTAGGAAAAACCATATGCGCAAATACAAGATAGGTAGTACTGGCTATGCAAAAAGCATGGAAGGAGGGGCATGAACAGGAAGGAGATAAAAGGAAAGAAGACTGAACTTAATAACACGAATCTACATTACCTATATATCAAAAAACAAATAACATTCCAGACAAGCCTTGGTTATTCTGCTATAGTACCATCTTGATTTTTTGGACAACATCCCGTGGCCACTCCTATTATTTATTTAGAGTATTTATACTATGTGGTGCTTATAGGTCTGCCTTCATATTCAGTACAAATGGACTGTAGAATTTTTTTGCTTCCATCTAGTTCAGTGTTTCTCAACCTTGGCAACTTGAAGATGTCCGCTGGCTGGGGAATTCTGGGAGTTGAAGTCCGGACATCTTCAAGTTGCCAAGTTTGAGAAACACTGATCTAGTTAGTCATGCTGAGACTTATGTCTCTAAGCATGACAAAAGTAATCAGATTTTACTTGCAATTTCACTCAAGTTGTATTGTTATTTATAAATATAAAGCATTTGCCGTAGATCTCCAGAGTTACCTCCATGAAAATAATTACACTGTGGATATACTGTCTGACAAGATCATTCAAATTCTTTATTCTTCTCTAGATTTTGCTTCCTTTCCTCATGCCTACCTATCAATCCTAGGCATAGACTGACAGATTTTAAAGTAGGAATTATTTTTTGTTTTGTTTTCTCTCCAGAGCCTAATATGTGAGAGCTAACTCTATAGCTGATACGAGACAAGCAAGCAGAAACACCTGAAGCAAGATATGTTAAGACTCTGGAAGGTTTTCCTTTCCCCTTGCTTTCTTTGTTAAATCTAAGTGAGAGGATAAATAGCAAATATCACTTCACATCTTTTCTCCTTTGCCTTGAGAAAAAAAAATGCACGAAACACTTCAAAGTTGATATTCTTACATATTCATGCAGTTCTTAGATGCATTTTACTGTTAAGTTCTTAACATTTACAATATTATTTTTTTCCCCAGGGATGTCCAGACAGCATGGAGAAAAAAATCAAGACGTCTCTGCCTTTTTTATCTGCATCACAGGCAGAGGTTTTATTGCACCAACAGGGCCACCAAGATATATTCTATTCCAAATCCCGTAATTCCCAACTAGCATCCTGTCTAAGAACTCTGGGATTATAGTAAAACACATCTGGAAGTCAACACATTGGGGAAGACTACTTACAAGGGAACTTTAGTTCCTCTTGCCCCTTCGCTATCTAGCTATAATAAGATCCACACATTATATTAAGCCAAAATGTGGCTTCTTTGATTTTGATTTAAGAATTCCATTTTGTGGGGAGGTAGTTTCTTCACTAATTAAACCCTTATTATAAGCTCTATCTATGCACACTTAAATGAGAGGAACTAATTTTAGTTGGGCATTTTCCGGATACATACTGAAGAATTAATTTAATTATTCTATTAAATTAATAGAATTAAAATTGTATAGATAGCAATAGGACTTGTGTATATCACCTTTTTATGGAAGTTCATATACCAAAGAATATACATTTAAGATCAGCCCTACTAAGAGCCCAGGGGAAGCACCTATCTTGGAAAAGAAGTGGCAGTAGGAGCCAAATTCTCATCTACTTTACATATCATCAGGTCAATGAAATCAAGCTGAGCAAGGATGGGATCATGCTAGGTAGAGAAGAGATAAACAGCCTCTTCATATGCACTGAATTGCAATAAAAATGTCACCAGTTTTGCTTTAAAGAAGAGCAAGACAAGATATATAGCTGAAAAACCAATCATCAAAGGAATGTCAAGTTAGGCCTTGAGGCAACCGTTTTACACTGAACTCCACATATCAAGTTCTGAAACTGTAGCAGATAACATCAATAATTTCATAATGTAATGGTATAAATTAATCTCTTTCAAATCCTTCAAATATATCTTAGCATTCTTAAATGTATTACGGGTAAATACAACACATATTTTCCCTCTTACTTTTTTTGTTACTCAATATTTTTACAAATCATTCTGAATAAAATAAAATCCCAAATATACATGAACATTATCCATGCTGCTTATTATATTTACTACATCATTGTATTTACTGTTGTATATCATTGATATATACCATTTTTATAGTTATTCATTTGCTAAGTCATGTCTGACTCTTCGCAACCCCATAACATGCTAGGCCTCTCTGTCCTCCATTTTTTTCTCTCCCAGTCAATGACATTATTGACATATACGAAATCTTCTTCCAAACCCGCAATCTTTACTTCCTGAGTTCATATTATCCTTGACATTATCCTCATTCAATGATTTATGTCTAATGTTAGAAGCAGGAATAGGAAGTGTCTGGAATAATCCTAAAATTTAACTGCACCTTGGCAAATTATTGTATAATTCAGAAACGACTGTATGCCATTTTCTTTTAAGTCGTCACTTTAAAATTCTTCTAATGGGCCCAGATTAATTTCTGTTCTACATTTGGACTAAATATAAAAATCAATGTAAGAAAATAATTTCATCAAACTATTTTGCATGTTAGACAAAAATATCTATCACCGCTAAAAACTTTTGGAGGCCAAATTAAACAATTCCATTGTTGCTCACACAATATTATTTAGTGTGGCCGAGTTTTCAGATATTAATTAACTGACCTCCTACACTGTGTGAATACAGCCACATTAAATTCTTATGCAAAATATATCTATCAGGAAGAAAGACAATTTGAAGATTGTATAGAAAAAAATATGCTGGTTTCATTAGCGAATCTACTATGACCTAACTAAAGTATGTCTTTAGGGAAAACAGTTCAAGATCAAGTGGTGCCAACCTTGAAACAAACTGCTCCAAACTTACTGGAAGTAATCTGGGCTAGAAAACAAAACCATCTAGACCAGGTATATAAGTAATAATTAGGAAAAGATAAAATGTGGGCAACACAATTTCTAAACATAGAAGATCAAAGGATTCCTTCTCAAGCAGCTGTTCACCTGGCTTGTGTATAAACAACCGCTATTTATTTTAATATCTTACTTGATGGAACACCATTTGGTGCTTAAAATGTCTTTAGACAATTTACAAAATGCAAGTGATTTTCACTTTTAGGATTTCTTACCTTCCTCAATATCGTTCCTTAACGAAGCTTCCAGCAATGCAACGCTGGCCTCAAAAGACACCTTCTTGGAGCAGACAACGTTCCTCTTTTTCTCGTGCTTTCGCTTCTTGTGCTGCATCTCCTTCTCATACTGAGCCCATTTCTTCAACTGCTGAGCCCTGCGTTTCTGGGCAGCTCGGAGTCGCTCTAGAGTAGGTACCTTATCCAGAAGGTGGAGCTCTGTCAGCAAGTCCATATGGGTGTCCATTTCTTCGACAAATTGGTTGATGGACTCAGCCTCACAGCTGCTGAACCTGTAGCCCTGTCTAGGTGACTATGTGACAACTATCTGGCCTTAAGAGAACATTCTGAATCATGAGTGGTACTTCTCAGAGTTTGAGGAACACATGGTGGAATCCTGAAAAAAAGAGAAAAAGGGCCAAAAGTGACTATATATCTTTTTTTAAAAAAAAAGAATAGGACAAGGGAAAGATCCAAAAGCATATTTTGCCAAACAGCATACAGCTTAGTCCTTGATTTACAAATTTATTTAGTCACCGTTCGAAGTTTTACAATGGCACTGGAAAAAGTGAGTTAGGACCATTTTTCAATTATGACCATAGCAGCATCCCTATGGTCATGTGATCAAAATTAGGACACTTAGCAGTGTCCCGAGGTCATGTGATTACCTTTTGTGATCTTCTGACAAGCAAAGTCAACAGGGAAGTCAGTTTCACTTAACAACTGTGTTACTAACTTAACAACTGCATTCACTTGTTACTGGCTTAACAATTGCACTGGTTCACTTAACTGTGTCAAGAAAGGTAGTAAAATGAGGGAAAACTCACTTAATAACTGTCTTGCATAGCAATGGAAATGTCCTTTTTCTCCCTCTCTTCCTCCTCTTTGTCCTTTTCTTAGCAGTTGTATGGAAAGTGTCAGTTGCTTTTGGACAATTTTTAATATCCCACTATCCCCCACCTCCTCTTTCTCCCTCTTTCTCCTTTTTGTCCTTTCTCCTCCTTCCCCCCAAAAAGAGAAAGAGAGGGAGAAAGAGGAGGTGGGGGGGATAGTGGGATCCTTGCTGCACCAAGCTCAGATATCATAAAATGACATCATAAAGCAGTTTGTCATTGTCAGTAAGAATACTTGATCACTGCACACACAACTGCACTGCTGATACTGAAGAATACTGTGTCTCACATATTCTGTGAAATACCAAGATTGACAGCATCTCCCTTTGAGTGATTTAATTGCCCTGAATCAATTCATCAGCTTGATGATGTTATTGCAACATTCACTTCATTTTTGATCATACAAATCAGCTCTTTCTGGTTCACCATATTTATATTTTTGGCCCAGCAATAATTATACTTACGGCAACATAATCATCACCATAAAGAAGCTGCTTTCAGCAGTGAATTTCAGTTAAAGCGACTTCAGCACTCAAAAATTCAGTAGTGGCACGTTGCTTAAAGCATGCTTGAGAACCTGTCACAGCCTTCCATTTCACAAACAATAGCAACCTAATGTTTTTTCAAAACTACTTCTCAACAATCAAATCAAAACAATGTTTCAGCATTTCTAACATATCAGTACTGCCTTTTATGGCAATTGACAACCTCGGAGCCATTATTTTTCACTCAATTCTTACATTATGTAAGTGGAGATCAAACAAATACAACAGGCAGGAGGGTGGGAAAAGTGATAATTCTGAGGGGAAAAATGCCTGGGTCAACATTAATTTGAGAAGCAGCTATGATCCTGCCATGAGATGCTAGTACAGCATTTCTTTGGTGTTTTACACAATCCATGTTCAGCTGACACATGTATTACATTTGCCTGTTTTGCCCACTTTGAGCCATCCACTAACACACTGGTAAACTCCACACAACACTGATCCAAGATTGCATAGTGTGAGAACAGAGCGCACTGCTATTTATACAAAGCAGGTGCACTGCTTTAGTGCACATATAACACCCATATGGATGTTTATATGCCTACAAGCAGTGTTTAATACAGCATCACTCTATTTCAAGTGTTTGAAAAGCAATTTTTTAAATTTTCAGCCCCACTCCAAGAACCTTCCCACCTCACATCCCAAGCTGCTGTTCAGTTATATATAGAATTGTCAGTCACATGCTTCCGTTTGAAGGAGACATCTTCATCCTCCTCCTCCTCAGTCAGCACCTCTAGTCTAAGGTGACCAGACGTCCCGCTTTTGGCAGGAAAGTCCCGATTTTGAACAATTTGTCCCGCGTCCCGCGGCGTTTTAAAAAAGTCCCGACTTTTTTAAAAAAAAATTAATCACACACACACACCGCAGTCAATGGTGTCCCTCTCTACCAATGTTAAAATCTGGTCACCTTATCAATGATGTAGCTCTCCAGTTTGAATGAATAACTTTATGTAAATTAATTCAAGTCAGAGGCAGCTTCCAGTTGACATACAACCACATCTGAGCCCAAAATTTCTTTGGTTAAGAGAATTTTGCCCCATTTCACGACCAGTCTTGCCACAATTACTGTATGTGAATCACTGCAATTGGTAAGTTAGTGACCTGGTTGTTAAGTGAATCTGGCTTTCCCATTGATTTTGTGAGAAAGTTGCAAAAGATGATCACATGATCCCAGTCATAAATATGAACCAGCTGCCAAGTATTTGAATTTTGATCACATGATCATGGTGGATGCTGCAAAGGTTGTAACTGTGAAAAAACAGCCATAAGTCCCTTTTTTCAGTGCCATTGTAAACTTTGAATGGTCACTAAACAAATGGTTGTACGTTGAGGACTAAATGTACCTCCTTGCTGACTAATAAGGGGGCATTCTGTGTCTTCCACAGTTTTAGGAATGTTTTTATGTTTCTCCTATTGCATTTTTAATGTCATGTTATCTTTTTCAACTGGCTGTAATATAATCAGTTGGGGGCTTCCTAAACTGTAGGTGTAAAAGTATTGGAATTCTCTGTTCTATATAATTTTGAAAGACAATTTAAGAAAATGTTATTAGGGCAGATATGAACCCATTTACTGTTCGTTGTTTGAAACATTGAGAGACCTTGCTATAGTACTTTTCCTTTCTTACCATTTTTCTATAAAGTAAGTTTTTTCAACAACCAATTGACAATATTAGGAGCTGTAGATGGAGTGCACTATGATTTAGGTTAATGGAGTGCACTAGGGAGAAATTTCCTGCTCAGTTACTGAATTGAAAGATGTATTTTCCTATGTATTATTTTTTCAGAGGCAATAAATCCTTCACATTTGAACTATTGATACCCTGAGTGAAGATCTGTTTCTACTTTTTCAACAGAAGTAGTTGAGACATTGATAATGCTGCATCAGCATAACTAATTTCAGCATATTACTTCTTCCTTCACTACATCTGACAAAATAGCAAAACAGTGTCACTGCATTGCTTCATATAAAACCAAGGAGTAGAGTACTAGCTCTGCAAAACATTCTGGTTGGCCCTTGGATTGGACAGGATCCACTGTTAATCTGGTCAGCATACACTCAGAGGTAGTATTCAGCTGGTTCGGACCAGTTCACCTGAACCCATAGTGGAAATCGCGGGCCCACTTACCCCAGCTCTATGCCATCCTATTTAGGCACATTTTCAAGCTCCAGGCATGCGTGCAAGCCATGCGTGAGATCAAAGCGCATGCATGGATGGCCGAGTGCATGCGTGGAGGGGTGGGTGCGCTCACATTTGCGAACCAGTAGGGAAAGTAAGTGAATACCACCCCTGCTACTACTATGGTACAGGAAGGGGGAGGGGACTCAGTTACTGCAGCATCTCCTTCCAAAACATCTCATCCTTTGGAGAAGATATCAAAGGAAGAATTTTGGAAAAGAAGAGCATGTCGGATTCCACACAATGCTGCCACAGAGAGACTCACATGATAAAATGAGACAGGGAAGAAAACAGAGCTGAAAGAAAGCCTTAGGATGCAGAGATATTCCTGGAAATAAAAGGCAGAGATGGAATTCTGAAGAATTCAACTCCTACTCAGCAACCCTGGGGGAGAAAACCCACAAGGAGAATTGATTAAAACCATATATGCAAGTACTGTATCTCCCCCCAAACTATTGTGTTGCTGCTGGGATGATTTATGTAAAACATTCAAGAAAGGTTTTCTTTTTCTTTTTCTTTCTGATAGTTGTAAAGTACATTTTTCATGTAAACTGTTAGAGAGGGAGGGAGAGAGGGAGGGAGGGAGAGAGAGAGAGTCACAAACCTGATGACTAGAGCAGAATATGGACATGCAGTTTAGTATTTGGTTCTCATAGAGGCTAAGCAGATTTGTTTAGAAAGCCAACAAGCAGGCCTTGAAGATGATAAACAACTTATATTCCCTAGAACAGTGATGGCGAACCTTTTTGACACTGAGTGCCCAAACCGGAACGTGTGTGTATGTGTATGCGTGTGTGTGCGTATGCGTTTGTGTGCGTGCGTGCTCCATCACGGCTCTATAATTTATAAATATCATATTGCCTCTAGTTTCAGGAAGGATAGCACACACCCATAATAGCTAGTAGTTATGGATAGTCTTATTTTCCCTAAATTCCCCTCTCCCCTTCCACAACTTCCATCATATACCATTTTATTATTTTCATTAAGCAATTTCAACTCCATATATGTACATGCAAAACATACCATAATTCAAGGATATTTGCTTCATATGTTTTCTGCAAACCAAAAATATGAAATAAGCTTTCTCACATTAACACATTTTTCAGTTATCTGCTAAAGATTATAAACATGATCTATGTTTCCCCTAAAATCAATAAAGCCACACTTTCCAAATTTGGCTCAATCTCACATCTTGTATTCTTTCAATCAGAATTTTGCCAAACAATTTCTCCAGCCCAGCTAACAAAGTCATCCCACTGTAGTTTTTGTATGCATTCTTGCTATCTTTGTGTAGAGGAACATTAATAGCATTCTTCTAATTTCAGGCATAGATACAACCTTCGCTCACATGTTAACAAGTCATATATTAAATCAATTAAGCAAGCCATATCCATATTTTAACATTTATCCAGTTGTATTATTTATAACTATTTCCTCACTAATTTTCAATACTCCTACAGTATTTATTACAATCTTTTAATGATGATGATGACCAGAATATTTACAGCATTCATTTCCATTTCACTCCTCAAAACAGCATGAGCATTCCCATACAAAAGACAAACACTCTAAAACGGTTTTCCATTTTGGATTGGCAAAAACAGACAAGCATGTCCATGGATAGAAACTGTTTTGGGATTTATTTATTTATTTATTTATTTGTTTGTTTGTTTGTTTGTTTATTTATTTACTAACTTAACTTAACTTAACTTAACTGACGTACTTACTTACTTACTTACTCACTCACTCACTCACTCACTCACTCACTCACTTAT